TACGCATTAATTTGTACTGCGGAAGTTTTTGGTAAATGTGATACATCTGAAATATTGTGCTCATTATTATTGGATATAAAGTCAACATGTTTTCATAAATTTAAATTTACTGATGCATACGGAGTTTCTAATTAAACTTTATAAATTCATATTAGCAATCTCCCTTATCACAAATAGTATTTTATTGTTTTTCCTTTAATCTTTGTAAAGGTTTTCGTAAATTCTTTTTTAATTATAATAAAGTATAATAATTTTTATATCATTCATTTTTATGATATTGTTTCCAGCAGTTCTTTGAATAGTACAGATCTACTGACATACAAAGATTTAGGAATTTTTTAAGTCTCTGTAAAATTACATTAAATGAAATCCAACAACATGTTCAATATGTCCATTGCACAATTAAAAAGCTATCACCTGCGATGGATTTGTACAGTCTCCTATTGTCATTCTATACATAGCCATCTCAGTTATTCCATGATAGTGAACAAAAGCAGCTGCAATTACCAGCACATGAAAAATTTGATGACTCTGAAACTGTAACATAGAATATTCAGCATTAAAAAAAAACTTAAATTCTTCCAGTTTAATAGATTGATAATAATTGCTGAACAGTAAAAATTAAAAAGTAACAAAATATTACATATAACTCAACTTAATGTTTAAACAAAAAACATAATTACCCAAATATCAAATTTGCCAGGGAAAAATCGTTCAGGTACCCTTAATGCATAGAACAATGCTCCTAAGATATATAGACATCCCATTAATATTAACCAACCAAGAGATGCTTGACTAATTGCTTTAAACCAGCCTTCTGCAATAGCATAATGAACTGCTGGTATTACCTAGAAAATAAATTATTATTTCATAATACGATAAAAAATACATGACAATGAAGAAAAAGTAATTCGTAATTAGAAGTAATACATAAGACATACCCCACTAAGACCAAATCCCATAAAAACACCTGCTCTTAATGGCCTATAATTTGGTTCACCGAATCGTTCCCAAAGTGACACAACTATACTCGTTACACCAAGTATTACAACCACTGACAAATAAATCATCTTCGGTTGATAATCACAGTAAAACCCATAGTAAAGCCATGGTACAAAACTACCCATAATTAACATGGCTATTCCACAATAATCTAATTTTGAAAATAACTTTCCAACACATTCACTGTGGCAGTGTACCGTGTGAAAAGCAAATGACATTCCCAAGCACATTATAGCACCAGCAAAGAAGGTACCAAATACCAATTTCTCCTCTAATTGTATTTCTATAGGAGGTTGTGTTATGAAAAATATTGCTATGCCAATGAATGCCACACATCCTAGACAAAAAATATATCATTTTGTTTTAAATCAATTTGTAAATTTAAAGATGTCTTCTGTGAAATAAATATTACCAAGTAAATGAGTCCAAATATTTCCAGTTTCTGTATGAATACGAAATATACTTTTAAAACAGGCATAAAATGATGGTAAAGGTGGTCTATGACCAGCATGTAAGAAATCATTATCTTGTAACCATCTTGGAAGATTTCTGAAATGGCATTGTTTCCATGATGCTTCCCATACCTATAATTAATAGTTAATAGATCAAATTTTATGTCATTACATAAACTAGATATAAAAAATATTTATAAAACACGAATGTAGTATTTACCTTGCGCACAAACTCCTCTGCTTGTTCAGCAGCATTGTGTGCTAATGCACCAAGATCAATTTCGTCACTCAATACACCAGCCTTGAGAACCTCTGTCATCTATAACATGTTAACAAGGTTTATTCTTAATATCTCAGGTATTTAATATAACAATTTAGAGCTAAAGTGAACAAATATTTAAATTATAACTAATTTGGCACAAATATGTAATTTTTTACCTCACAATCCAGAAGATGATCATCTTCAGGAGTTGATGGTAATGGACAACCAACTCCATCTTCTTCTTCTGCTAAGCAGCTCGCATCATCATCATCTAATAATTCTTTAACTTCATGTAAGCCTGGTACTTCACTATTTAATGATACACGATCACTCCATGGAATTCTATGACGAATCCCTGAGTTTGTTGCACTAATGTCATTGTTTCCTTTATCTTCGATAATGGCATCCTCGTATTGCGACATATTATAGATTTGCAATAGCTTCAAGTTTCTAAAAATATGATTGAACGAATTAGTTTCATGATATAAATACTGATAAACAATTTCTTAAATTACAACATAATATATATTGATTTTATGTAATAACAATATTTTATGTATTAAAAATTACATAGATTAGCCACTTTATTATTCTCAATAATATTTCAATACACTGGTAAACTTATATTTGAAAGGAATTTAAATTCTACAATTATATAATAATTTAAGGAACGAAATTACAAGACTGGCTGAATGTGGAATGATCAAATAAATGTGTACAGAATACTTTTAATGAAATATTAACAACTTAAAAAGGTCATGACCTCTTATATAATGAATTGCGATAATTATGTTCATACGTCAACAATTGCGAAAAAGGAAAATGTTGATGGTAATTTCCACTTGATCTAAAAAAATAGTGCACGAAGTTTCTTAATAAACCATAAATTGTAGTTAATGCGTCGTATACACATGATTCTTTGACAGATGGAATTCATAATAAATGCACATACAATACGATAACAGTTCCGTAAAGTACGAAGTTCGATTGACTGATCCAATAGAAGACATACTTAACATACCCAGCACACGACAAATCATCAAACTTTCACATCTACGCCGAACAAAATTGAAATTTCAATAGTAATGTGTAAACAAAAATGGTTCAAAACATGCTTTCAATGGGTACAAATTATTTTATGCAACTGCTAATTTTCAGTTATTCATTGCTACGACAGGAGTCGAGAATAGCCGAGTACTAGATAGTACCACGTGTTAACATTTATACATATACATATGTATGTACATATATCGATGTATGTATGCACATATGTCAGTATACATATATCATTTGTATTTGTATCGGATGCCGCTTTACGAAAAAAATATATTAACATATGTACATATGTATATCCAGTACCTACATATTTCTAAAAAACATCAAGTAGAGTATGTATATTGTACATACAATGTAATTGAAACTTCAATTGTTTTGTATATATTCAAGTTAAATTTATATATTTAAGAAAATAAAAATTCAACTTTTTAAATCTTTTTTTAAAATAAAACTAAACTTTTGTTGTGAGAATTAGATTCATCGTGGCTATGTATAGTAAACAAATTTTCAATACACTTTCAATTTATATACTTATGTAATTTTTTATCACTATAAATTCTGATTCTTAGCTACATGTGTGTACATCACTGTACATACACTACGTATTGTATTTTATTTTTGAGCCTTATCTTACGAGACTTTATAGCTACGATGAAAATATATATATAATGTACATACATATATACATATGTAAAACAATGTTTAAATATAATTATGTATTATAAAATATAGGTATCCCAAAAGTTATGTTCACCTCATTGTATACGTATACATATGTATGTATGTATGTAATAATAACTGTAAAGCAATGACTATGACCGGAATTGAAATTATTGTTGCTACGTGACTTCAGTACCTTCGTGACATAACCTAAAAAACAATTACAAGAACCAATGAATAATTCGAGAATAAATATTAGCTTCATTAGCTGAAATGTCAAACAAAATGTATTATGAATAAAATGTTTTAGGATTTATTATTATCATTATAGGTAACAATTAAAAATTATTATCATTGTTATAATGATAAAATAAGAGAATATTAATAATGAGAAAATTAAATAGTGAATTATTATCAAAATTCACATACATTGCAATAGTTGTTGCAGCGTATTGGTATGTATCATTACATTCAAGCAAATAACGTTCAGTTTTCATTTAAATCATTTTGTTTATACAGTTGACTACTTTTTCAGGGTAATCTCTATACTAACAGTTTTTATAAATAAAG